GACACAGATACACACACACAGACAGACATAGACACAGATACACACACACAGAGACAGAGACACAGATACACACACACAGAGACAGAGACACAGATACACACACACAGACAGACATAGACACAGATACACACAGACACAGACAGAGACAGACAGACAGACATAGACACAGATACACACACACAGACACACAGACAGACATAGACACAGATACACACACACAGACAGACAGACATAGACTCAGATCCACACACACACACAGAGACAGACACACACACACAGAGACAGACACAGACAGACACAGACACAGATACACACACACAGAGACACACAGAGGTGGAAAACATTTCCTCCGCAACATTCCACAGAATTATTGTGAGGTTATTCTTGGAATCATGAGATTTTGACCAAAACAAACAAATTCACCCCCCAAAAAAAATATGTGAAAGAAATTAGAAACCAAATTATACTGAGTGTAGTTCATGTTGCAGACGTTTTCATCAACTTCAGTTACAGGAGAAGAAGTGACTCACCCAGCTTGGCTCCTTTCTTCAACAGCGTCACCACCACCGACGTGTTCCTACAGCCGATGGCCCGGTCCAGAGGCCTCATCCCACTGTGGTCAACATGCTCTATCACCGCTCCTCTTTCCACCAAGTACTGGACCTACAGGGACCAGGAGAATGGAAACAGTCTGTGTGTTTACATGCAGCATCAGAAAACCAAATGACTGCCTTAGTTTGGCTGAAGCCGAGCCCAACTGGACTACTCCTAATCGCACTACAGTATCCAGGTAATGCGGTTTTAAAAAATGTTCTCTGCATGTGAATGACATCCCAGCTGAGCTAGGAACAGCCTGGGAACCCTCCCTTCAGGATGTGATGAGGTCATGGAAGTGGTCTTCTGTTAATATTGCCATGTGACACCATAGGATGAACCAAAATGCGCTGTGTTGCAGTGTTTATTTGTCTGCTTCACTCCAACTGGCAGTTGGTTTGTTTTAGTGATAAAACAATATTATTTAAGACAAACATTGTGGGTTTTAAAGCAGCCCATGGCACGCAAACTCAGTGGTTAGGACCCTATGCAACAAAGCAAACGTCACAAGGGGATGCTTCACCAGAACAAAAAAGGACACAACCCAACTGGAAACCAAGAAATCAGCCATCAATATGTCAGAAACCAATAAATTCAAACGATGGATCAGGGAGTCCATTGAGATCAGGAAACATGCGAGCAACACCATCAACCAGGATGAGGGGGCATTCACCCTGTCACACATCTGGGACTCCATCCTCCAGTGATGGTTAAGCCGGGCGTACACTGTGCGACTTTTTCACTCGTAGCACTCAGCTTCAGCTCAAACTGTACGACTTCCTCGCAGGGCAGATCTCACGAGTCAGGCGCTCACACTGCACGACCCAGTTCTCGGATGCGACCTGACTGCTCACACTGTACGTCTGGTAGCAACACGTCGGCCCTAAAAAATATGCTAAAAATAGTAGTTTTTACTCAACACGTCAGACTTTTTTGTCTTGTCTTGCCTGTTGTCCTTCGGGAGTGCTGCAGGAGGACACACGGGGGTTTATGGGGGTTGGATGAGGAAAACGAAATAAAGAAAGTAAATCTTGAGTTTTGTGATCAGTTTAATTTGACATGAACACGACAAATCCTTGTCATTGTGTGTAAAAAAAACCTGTAGAAATAAAAACGAACAACGTGTGTTATTAGGGAAATAGTGGGCGAGCTGTGTTGATGCAGGATTGCGCATGCGTCGTGAGCGGTTCTGATACTTTTTGGGTCGCAGCCGCTCGCTGCGCCGCTTAAACAGTGGGATACCCTCACGAGGAATGAGCAAAATATCAAACACTCCCGTAGTCCGTGCGAGCTCACGATTGCTGATCACGTGATGTTAATCGCCTCTCATAACCCCCTGTATTCTACACGACGCTCGGTGCAAGACTCGCCCCGATCTTGTGGATTCTCGCACGAGTGGAAAATCGGCTCAAAAAAGTGAAAAAGTCACACAGTGTCCGCCTGGCTTTAGAGGGAGGCACAGCTGGTATAAGCAAGGTTTAACAGAGCTCCCAGACCAGCCAGCTTATGAGGAATACTGAAGTGTGCAGTCACAACTGTCAGCAGGTAAGAAATAATCACATTTGTCTTACCAAAATAAAAGTCTAAGTGGAAGATTGGCAACAAGACAGGACTCGAACGCACTTCATCCATTTTCTACACCTGCTGATCCAAACTGGGTCGTGGTGCTTATTTCCAGCAACCTCCGACACATCAACCACGCACACACTCACACTTAAGGACAATTGTAAAGACCTATCAACCTGGCAGTCATGTTTTTAGACTGTGGGAGGAAGTCGGGAATACCCACGCATGCAGAAAAACCTGAGACATTCTTGCTGCAAGGGAACAGTGCTAACCACTGCACCACTGTGCAGCCTGCACTTCAATGATTTGGTTAACTAGGATAAAGGCTCTCATCCTGGTTAAAACCTGTGGTGGATCTTTGCCAGGGCTAGACTTAGATGTGCATGTAACCGCACTAAGTCTACAGCTAAAACCATGACGCCTTCAAATCAGTCATTCCCACACACACACACATTCACACACTGGTGGTGATGAGCTACAGTGTAGTCACCTGGGACACACCGACAGTAGCGAATATGGTGCTACTAGTCCCTCCGACCACCACCAGCAGGCAAGATGCTGCTTGAACCTGTAACCCTCCGATTGTGGGCGGGCACTGCACTCCTCTGCCACTGTCCATTACATTATTCATGTCACTAAAATAAAGTTTTATTTGTTCAAAATATGTCTACTTACAATCTCTGCATCTCCATAAAAAGCAGCCAGGTCCAGTGGAGTTCTCCCGTTTTTGTCCGTGTGGTCGATGACTGCACCTTTCTCCACCAAAAACTGCACCACGTTCTTCCGTCCTTTCAAACAGGCCCAGCTCAGGGGCATCAGTCCCTCCTTGTCCATCGAATTTAAAGATGCACCTTCAGGCCAAATACACCAAGGTTATTTATTTTGTAGAGAAAGTCGTGTTTATGTTGTTTGTGTGAGTGAACGATCACCTTTAGACAACAGAAATTCCACGGTGCTCAAGTGGCCCTCACAGGCAGCCACCATGAGCAGAGTTCTGCCCTGTTTATCGCTCATGTTGATGTCAACGCCATGTTGTAGCAGCAGCTCTGCAATCTGAGGAACGCAATAATGGAATTGCGTCACTGCATTCTGGATCCTGTGGGTACAGTTTATCAGATATGAAAGAGCAGCTCGGCAGATCTTACCTGCCAGTGTCCCTGTCTGACGGCGCAGAACAGGGGGGAGACCCCCCGCCGGTTCACCTGCTGCACCCCAGCCCCCTGCTCCAGCAGGAAGCTGCACACCTCCATCTTTCCTCGACCTGCTGCTGCTGTCATAGCTGAAGAGCAAAAGAGAGGAGAGACGCAAACATGTCAAAACTCATGAGGGCCTTACCCGTGTTGGGAGTAATGCGGTACAAAAGTAATTAATTACTGTAATGCATTGCTTTTTGCTGTAATGTGGTAATGTAAGGCATTACAGGGAAAGAAAATGGTAATATTTACTCGGTACAATTGTCAGTAACGCGGTAATTACAATGCATTTTTAAACCCAGAATCAAGATGTGCTCCTTAAAAATTCAAATTGCAGGAAACCCGGAGAAAGATCCAGTATCTGCATATATTACGTCATTTATGGACTCAGCTTTGCGGGCAGAGAGGACGCAGCGGTAACGGCTCAGCTGCTCGCGGCCGCTGCAACATTCACAAAATCGCTCCACTAAAACAAAATAATGCACTTGCGATCGTTCATATCAGCGCATATTCTCTGGTATTTTGTGCTTTTCTGACGTGCTTTGCCTCAGCTGAGTTCATAATCTGGGCCCCGGTGATTTCAACTCATTACTGCTGGAGCGCCACGCATGTGAAGATCCCTTTGGCTGATCGTTAGAAAGTAGGAAATCTAGTTTACAGTTTTTTCTGGAAGACGGAGAAAACATGCAGCATGCAGGAGGGTTAGAGAGAGAAAGGGCAGGAAATTATTCAAATAAAATCAAGAAAACAAAACAAAGTGCTTGAAAAGAAAAAAGTAGGTAGATCTATCCCCAATACACATTTTTACCAGTGAAAAGCAATAATATATAAACATTTAATATTTATACATGTGATAGAATCAGATCACCCCAGAAGTCAGTCCCACATCCAGGGCCGTATCAAGGCATTTGGGGACCAAGGCAAATATAGGCTTGGAGCCCCCACCACCTCACTCCCTGATCAGTTAATATAAGATGGCAGCGCGCTGAGAGTACAGATTGTTGTTGCTTTTATTTAATAAACAATCATTTTAAAGCACTGTTATTATATCTGACTGTTTTTAACAGCAATCCTAGCTCAGACACCACATCACTTTCCACATATGTGTCATGAGCTCACTGAGCATCACATGACCAGATTCATACTGAAGTTGTATCTGTGAAAGTAACTTAAAGTAATGCAAAAGTAGTGTAATGCCTTACATTTTAAAATCAGTAATATTGTAATGTAATGAATTACTTTAAAATGAGGGTAACAAGTAATAAATAATGCATTACAGTTTTGAAGTAACTTGCCCAACACTGGGCCTTACTCCCTCTAACAGGTACATTAAAACTGGAAGTGTAGAATTTTTCTAAAGCAGGAAATGACGAATGTTTGTTCTCTAAAAATGAACTTCGAGGCTTAATAAAACTTATTACATCAAGCATTAATTTCATTTGCATCAGCAGACAAACCCCCACAAACGACTTGGCCAAACACACATTTCTGACCAATTTCCTCATTAACGTCATAAAAAACCAAAACTCAAACACTATTACCATAAAGATAACATCTTTCTAGAGTTGGCTGCTTCCAGTCAGTCAGCAGATGGACCGGTCTTAAATGAGAGCTGGTTCTCCAAACAGAGCGAGTTCCAGCGCTAGAACGGGATCAGCTCCGTTCTCACGTTCACCTCGGAGAGTAAAAGGTGCCGCTGAGCCTCCATATCGAACGGACATCGTCCATCTGGATGAAGACTCATCACAGCCAAAAACAGCCCCACCCACCATCTGCTCCAAATGTGGATTTCCTCACACGGCTCACACCGCAGATCAATGACTCCAAACATCTAAACTTAGACCGGTCTTCAGGGAGACGCCGGAGCTGCACGCAAGTTTGCAAAGAATAGACGAGGAATCACCAGCAGCTGTTTGTGCCTTTGGCTAATTTTAGTGGTGATCGTAGTTATATTCGTGTCTATGTTTAGAATAATCTCAGCAACATTGTTCAGAAGAGGAGTTTGTTTTTCTAATTATGGTCATTCATGGCTCCAAGCAATAAATAAGGTCATGACCTCACATTCCAGGAAAGTTTTCACTTACAACCAGAGATTGCGCTAACTGGATATTTTCCGTTATTACAGCTGTTGCTGTTTTGTCCCAGAAATCGGACACTGCAGAGGACAATCGGTGCTTTGCCTCCTCCTCCTACCTGCACAGCTGCTCTCACTTGAGCTGATCTCCTCCGGAGCAGCATAAAAGGGCGAGCTGCCAGGAGGAAGGGAGAGACTGGATCTGTGCCGGTTCTCTCATGTGCTCCATTTGTTTGTGTTTTGATGGCTTTTAAATGGGTTTTAGTTGTTTAAGCTTGGTGAAGCTTAACAACTTTTAGAGGCTCCCAAACTTGTGTACAGTGATCCCTCGTTTATCGCGGTAGATGCGTTCCAGACCTGGCCGCGATAGGTGAAAATCCGCGAAGTAGGGACACCGTATTTATAGTATTTATTTAACAGGTACGTATTCAGTATTCAGACTTTTAAAACCCTCCCTTTACATAGAAAACATTTTTACTTGTTTTTTTTATAGTTTTATTACAAAAAGTGCATTTTTTATGAAAAAAAAACAGGAATTTCTTGATATTTCGCATAGAAAAATACCGCGAATCGGCGAATTTCCCTTGAATAAGGCTCCAAAGAAAAAATCCGCGAAGTCGTGAATCCGCGATAAACGAACCGCGAAGTAGCGAGGGATCACTGTATAGTCAGTGGACTCTGTGTGTGAATGTTTGGGAGCATTGGGATGTCTGTTTTAAACGTAAACCCATGGCCATTTAAACAATGTGTTTTAAGTACTTCTAGATTTGGAGCTTTTTGTCATTTTAAAATCCTTTAATAAAATCATTGTTTACAATTTTAACACCTGAAACGCATGCCTCTGTTACTCCCCGTCCTTCTCCTTATCCACCAATAGAGGACGTAACATCCGTATTTGATTGTGTTTTTATGGGTGAGGGAAAATTCTGAAAGCTGTCTGTCATTTTGACAGATTGCAATCCACGCCCCGACTCATGCAGGTGAAGACATTTGAAATGTTACACAGAGAACATTCTGGAGGTAACAAATTCGACCAGGAATCGATATCCACATACAGAATGATACGCATTTAGGTTCAACCCACCTACCAACAAAATGCTCTACTGCAGACCCCTACTGATCCATAATCTCGCATGACACCCTGCCATGACTGAGGCCCTGTCCACATGTAGCCGGGTTTTTTTTAAAACGAATATCCGCCCCTCCAAAAACTTGCATCCACACCACCTCGTTTTAAAAAAAAACTCTGTCCACACGTACCCGGATAAATACGTTGTTAAGGACATGCCAGACCTGTAGGTGGCAGTACTTCCCCCGTTCTTAACCTCGTCCTTCGTCTGTGGTCTTCCACAAGGAGCAGTAATTCCGCTTGCAAAAACAAACAAGCAAAAAGCGCTTGGACAATTGATAAAGCGAGCGCAGCTCTGAGGGCATCCATGCTGTCGGCTAGTGTAAACACAGGTCGCACACGTGATGTCAGCATTTTTTTGTAGCGGAAAGTGACGTTGCGGACCTTAAAACTCCGGTTTTGTTTGTCCACACGCAGACATCCAAAACGGAGAAAACACAGATCTTCACTTTGGCCGGAGTTTTTAAAAAGATCCGTTTTCGTGTGAAAAAACTTGTGTGGATGACAGGCCAAAACGTAGAAAAATATCTACGTTTTGGCAGATCCCCGGCTACGTGTGGACAGGGCCCAATGCTTTGGCTGAATAGTCTCTCACATCCAGACAGAACCTAGAGAAACTCATGCATTCATCTCAGGAAGTAGTCAGCTGGTAGAACCCCGGGTCAGAACCAAACAAGGTGAAGCTTCTTTCAGCTACTACGCTGCTCACAGATGGAATCAGTTTCCTTCTGGCCCCAGATCTGCCCCAACTCTAGTAACATTAAAATAAAAATGTATTCAATTTCCTGTTTTATGTTTTTACCATTTTTCTTGCACCTGAAAAACACTTCGAAAAGCCTATGCGTATGTGATACATGAATAAAGCTGCCTTACCGTGCTGGTTGGCAATATTTATTTTTGTATAGGAATATTTAGGAATGAGCCAAATGTCGCAAAAGTTAGCAAGAAGAACATTTTACTGTACGTAGCAGATGCTAAAGAGTTAACTCTACAGCTTTCTGTAAAATATAAATTCTTATGAAGGCTGTTCATCACAGCATTCTTTTGTTTGACGTTATTCCTGTTTTCTAAACCTAATAAATATTAGTCATTAGGGTTTGTGACTGTGATACAGCAGCTGAAGCTGTTCGTGGTCTTTCACACTGAAGGATCCGTAAGCATCATCATCTAGAACCTATAGATTCTTCCACAGCTCTACAAAAGTTTCACTAGCTTTTTGCAGAAGATGCAAACTTCACTAAACCTGTAATAGTCCGACACAAATAGAATAAAATTGGAGAACTGAACATTTCTAAAGATACAAATTCTCCCTTGAATTAAGCGCGATTAATCAAACAACAGCATATGGCTGCTTTTGTTTTACAAACGAATGCACTTTTGCAGCACAACTATTTGCTGCTTTTTACCTTGAACATGTTCTGCTGCAGCCAGAATGACTGTGGGCTGTTAAATTACCTTTTCTTTGCATAACAGGAAAACGCTTTGAATCCTAAAAAGATGGGAGCTGGCACAGATGTACAATCCAATCTGCCTCTATTTAAACACAGAACACAGCGGGTCTATTTGCATAAATACGTACGATAGCATTGAATTCTGATTATGCTAGAAAGTCTCTCAGGTTGTTATCGGAGAGCTGCTTCAGAGGCAAAAATGAATGACTGGTTTTGATATTTCACAGAGTTTCTCAGCAGAATCGGGTTATTAAATCTGTCACTGAACACAGAAGAGGGGGTTTTAGGTAAAACTCACATTTATTACTCAGCTCACGGCTAATCATTTTGGGTGATCGCGTCTATTCAGAATGCGCCACTCTCTTTTCCCACCTCGGTTTTACAAAGTTACATTTTATATGTGCAGACAAATACCTCCGGTAGACCCACGCCATGATCTAAACTGTGTTTTCTAATGAATCCACTCTGAATACAGATGAGCCTGGATGTATGCCAGCTGGCCGAGGTGTTGGACTACATGAGCGTGTGCTGCCACCAGCAAACATGAGTTCAGAAGGATCACCAAGAGGAAACATTTGGAAACTAAAACGAAGACAGAAATGTTTCAGTGTGTTTAAAAAATAGATTTACTAAAATGTTTTCATCTATAGTTCAGGGCAAACAAACTAAATATTTCATTTTTTGTGGTTCTTCGTCACACACAGAGCAAACAGAACTAGTGTTTACCTTTGCTGACATGTTTAGGCATCCACTGTTGGTGCCGTCACTTGCGTTTATCTGCGAGCAGCAGTAGACGACGTCGCCCTCTACTGCCAGTGCCTTCTCCGCTGATCAGCGTGTCTTGTGCGTGTCCCAGCCCTGAGTGTACACTCCTTTGTTCATGGTCCTGGGTCCATGTATCCTCATCTCCATCACTTAAGTAAACAGGGACAAAGGAGTGTACACGCTGGACCACGCACGGGACACGGTGATCAACGAAGACAGTCGTCTACTGCTGCTCACAGATAAACGGAAGTGACGCCACCAACACCGGCGGTTGCTCTGACGAAGGCAGCAGTGGACACGGAAACGTGCCAGCAAAGGTTAAAAAAGCTGTTTTTGCCCTGTATGATGGATGAAGAACCACAAAAAAATGAAATAGGATAGAAAACACAGAACCAACATAACAAAGACGTTTGACACATTTTTGTAAACGCATTTGAGTGTTTGAAACACAACGTAAACCCATAAATGAACCGATTTAGATGGAATCTTAGTGTACTTAATTAACTTTATAATCGAGAGCAGGGGTCAGCAATCTTTGTGAAGCTGAGAGCTACTTCATGGGTACCGAGCCACAGGAAGGGCTACCAGGTTAACTGACCTTTGAACTGGAATAGATCAGATAATAAACATTCATTGTTTTTAAAGAATCTTGTAGTTTTTTAATCTATATTAATGCATTTGTGATGTATTTTTGTGGTTATTGCAGACTTGTGCTATTTATAGAAAAGGTCTGTGGGCACCTAATATAGTTCCTGGGGTCACCATGGTGCCCACTAACCCTAACGGGCACGTGTGTTGTATAATTTTTTCTTAAGTTTTGGATTTCAGACACTCTTAATTCATCCAGCATATCCAGAATGTTGTCTGCTAGTTTCAACACGCACGCACGCACGCACGCACGCACCTCGCGTCCGCCTCTGGAACAACTTCTGCACCAACTGACACACATGCTTCTTGCACGACGGTTCCGAAGGTGTTTTGTTTTGCAACAATATGTCTTAATTGAAAATTTGCCTGACATATTTCCCAGAGTTTGACATGTGAGAAAAAAACTACTTTTAACCAGCCCAGTCATTCCCCTGACCCTGCGGTACTCCTTTAGCTTTAGCTTAGCATAAAACACAGTACGTGAATGGATCCAGCTAGCGTTGGGAGTAAAAATGTCCTTGAAATCACCCAGTAGTGATCCCAGTTCTGCTTGGTGACCTAAACAATCAGACTTGACTGCAAGTGAAAATAATTGGTAACATAAAGAAATCACAGGCGCCGGCTAAAATGACGGTTACTGGGAATTCTAATGAAGCTGGAATTCTGGGAGTTCTAGTGTTAAATAGTTTACCTAACCCTAATTTAGGCGTGCACTTGGATAATAAAGACAGTACATTTACACAAAAGTAACTGGTTCTCTAATTCTGAATAACTTTTGCTTTAAAGACATGTGCTTCCTGAAACAAGTCCCAAAAGGTGTGACGTTTAGCGGGAACACAAGAACCAGGTAAGCTCTCAGCACACAGGCTGACCTACACTCATGATGCACAGAAACGTTCCCGACTTAGAACACTTCTCCCTGTTTACACACAGATTTCCATGACTACAGCTGGTGTTTTTAAGAGCTTTTAGATAAATAGAGATGATTTATGAGCCTGGACTCTTTAAACTGAAGTTGCAACATTTATAGACACTAAAGTATTGTTGTTGAAAGTTTTGTATTCACTGTTTTAGGGCATAACTTAGTAATGCACAGTATAACCGGTACACGGCTATCTTAAAGATATTCAGCCACCGGTAGAGTCTGACTCTGCCGCTCAACAGCGATAGTGCATGAAAGTTGTCGAATTGTGTCAACTCTGGACTAAACGCAGCGGCGAACGCAGCGCAGAGCACGTGGATGACGATGAGCTAATAAAGAAGAAGGGGTTACGTCAGTGATTCAGAGCTGGTTTGGGTTTGAGGAGCAGAAAACATCCTTAATAAAATACATACCGAGGAAGTAAACGATTAGATTCATGAGCAACGAGGATATTTGTTAATAGATTCATAATATGAACACGTTTCTGATTTGCGTTCCTCCTGAAAAAGTTTTGTTTTTTAGCAGATGAATGAAATAAAAAAAACATTTTTTTTGAAACCGTTTCTCCGAACACGCTCGAAACCAATTTTTTGATCAGTGGGTCAATTTTTCTTTTTTCTGTTCCCTGGTTTGTAATTGTAACTAGAGGTCACACAGTGCTTGAACCGTTTTGCTCTTGGTTTAAAAAAAGCAGGAATGTGACGCAAAATTACAAACCAGGGAGCAGAAAAAATTATCTTCAATCTTCATAAGTTTGTCTCGAAATATGTTCAAATTAATCGTGTCAAAAACTGTCATTTTGAAATACTAAACAGAAGAAAAGAATAAATCGCAATATATATCATTACAGCACACGCTTCAAAAAGCATCGTGATATAGATATGAGGCCATACTGCTCATTCAGCTGCTACATTTACCTGCAAATAACGTCACAAATTACGGATGTTATGGACATTTCTATCACTAAACGTCACTCCTACACCTGCTTTTCTGACTTTGTTTTGCACAATTTTGCAATAATTTTAGCTTAAAAGCAAAAACCTGTTTGTCAGCCAATGAAAAGTTAAACCAGCCCCAATAAATTGTTGAAATTTATGCTGAAAATCTAAAATTTACATCAAGCCTTGAATAGAGTAGAGCTAATCCAGTGACCTAGATTTCAAGTGGAAAAACCACAACACCACGAGAATGTAGAACATGCATTAAAACGGATCCGCGTTTAGGTTGAGCAGCCTCTGCTTTAAGGAGAAGGTGTGACTGAGGAGCAAAGAGACGAGACCTTCCACTGCAGCATTCATTTAGAGCAGCCAGGACGGGAATGCAAAAACAGCAGGCGATGATATAGAGAGCCATATAATGCTCAAAGATTGATGAGAACATACCTGTCTCGCCCCACAGAGTGTCATGACTATCAATTTGCACAGCATGCTCATTTTTCAACGCCAGCAGGTCCTTCACAACCTGCCAGAGAAAAGAAACTTGGATTAATGGTGCACTATTTAAGTGAATGACATCAAATAAACCTTCAGGAGGGGAGTGTATGCAGAACGCCAACTTTAGAGCAGAAAACTACAAAATCCCAGCTGATTATAAATGATTGACAGCAGGCCTGAGGACATCTGGTCACTGGATCACCACAGGAGGTTATAGGAGTCATAATTATGTGTAATTAATAGGTTCACTGATTGGATCGGTCCAAATCCCTGATTCCAAACATGTGTAAAGCTGAAACACGGCACAGTGATGATCCCCAAATCCTATCAGACACAAGACTTTGAGTCATCCCCAATTAGAAAACCTCCCCTGAGTTTTTCTATCCTCACATTCATTAATGTATGCATTTTAAACTGCATGACTGTCAGTCAGACCTGTGTGTGTCCCATGCTCGAGGCTGCGATCAAAGCCTGCTGCAGAGCTTTGTTCTTCAGAGAGCAGTCCTGCTGCTGCCCCTCAGCACTCCATTCCAGCTCCAGCAGGTACTGAATTATCTCCGAGTGTCCACGCAATGCGGCATGAACCAGCGCACACTGGCCACTCTTATCGACGTGATCCACCTTGCAAAAAAAGAAAAATAAAAATAAAAGAAAAATACAAGAATCTTGGAACTGCTGAGGAGAAAAAGAAAACAGGCTCAACGCGTACGGCGTAAAACTGTTGCATGCGGTCCTCACCTTGGCCCCCCTTTTACAGAGCAGCATCACTAGTCCCAAATGTCCTCCAGCAGCTGAGAAACACAAGGGGCTCATGCCGTTTTCAGACACAACATCCACGCTGCTGCCAAACTCCAGCAGCAGCGAGGTGATTTCATGGTGCCCCAGGTGGCACTGGACACAGAGCACCGGCGCGTTGTTCAGGACCTCTGTGCGGTAATTCACGTTCGCTCCTCCCAGCATCAGCAGCCGGCTTACCTGATGATGCAAATACAGAAATAATAGAAGCACAAACATAAAAGAGTAACCCAGACAGCATTTGCTAAATGTGAATCCTGAGTCTCGAGGTTTGCTTTCAAGGATTTGCAGATACTGTCGTTTCATTCATCCGAAACCCTCCAAGCAAAGGTCACACACACAAAATAAAGTAGCCGTAATCTACTTGATGCGATTATCAAGTTTGTTTTTCTCTCCTGTGTGAACAAAATCAATAATAAACAACTTGTCAGACAGAACCGCGTCACTAAATGAGAATTCTGCATCAGGAGATGAAACGGTGCGTTCGGAGCCTCGGTAAAATCAATTAACAGAGACTCCATTTTTCCCTGAAGGACAAATCGAGGTCATTCTGTAAATGTCTGAGTGATTCTACAAGTAAACCCAATAACTCACGTCAGACAACACTGAAACCTAACCTTAATGGCAAAAGAAAACCAATGCCGTCGCGAGACAGAATACATAATTTTGATGTAATAGGCTTTTCCAGAAAAGGCCAATCATTATTTTTCCTTGAACACACACAACTGCACATGGAAGTACACACGCTCGGTTGTTCTTTGTTAGCAGCTAATGAACTCCACTACTGACATTAGCCTAATTAGTGACCAAAAGGGGACTGGTATTTGCTGAGCCCTTTTCTGCACGGAGCTCCGAAAGTGATGAAATATTAACAGTGATGAGTTTAAAGTGAATATCTGAATAAACAATGCAGACAGGTAATTAAACCTGGAGTGAAAATGCTCATCAAGATTTTCTGCTCTGAGTTTAACTTCTCTCCCAGTCAGGAACATATTTCCTTCAAATGTTTTAAATTTTCCAAGTTGTGATGGAGAAAGCGTGCTAATATCTAATGAATTATTGAGTTTTCAGGGTGCAACAGGGATCTTGATGGGATAACAAGCAGTGATAGAATAAAATAAGACTGTTTTGTTTTAAAATATGAAAACCCTATGTTATTATACTTTAAAGCTGTTCTAGAATGCAAGAGGAAGTTGGTGCCGGGCCAGCCGATGTCCACAAGTGGGTGTGGGAGTGTGGACGAACATGGAATGGAGTGGGTGTCAAAGTGACTCATCGGCTGGTCGTAGAGTTTACGGAAGAGGACAAGAACCGGACTGCAAGCTTTGAATCTAAAGATGTGTTTCCATTGTAGGAAATTCGGGGTAATTACCGGGAGGGGCAAATTAAGCGGGAAATACGATGGCCTGGTCCTCTTAGCTCTCCATACAAATTCTGCCTTTCACGACTTAGCTCAGACGTCGGCATATCACGACTGCTACAACAGCAAGTGATGTCAGCGCAAAAAGTGTCCACAGTAACATAAAAAGTCTTCTTCTGCCGAAGTACGGCAATTTAATCCATTGGCAGGACTGGGAGAGCTGCTGTGTGATGTAAAATGTGGTGTTCAATGACCAGGAGTGAATTTTTTTTACGATGCTCAGAGACAGTAAAGCCAGGTGAAATGCATTGTGGGTAGCGATGGGTACCGAATTCGGTACTTTTTAAGGTACCGACCGAATTCCACTGTACCAGCTGAGCACCGATTCACGTCATTTGAAACGGTGCCTCGTTTCGGTACCCGTCCTTCATAACGAGAACTTGCCTAGACAGCTGCGCAAGCGCAAGAGCATTATGTCGTCAGTCGCTGCGAGCGAGTTGTTAACAGAGCAGCATGGTAGAAAGAACGCACGCTAAAGCTTGGGTCCACTTCACTAAATGTGATGGGTAACTGGGTGATGATGAAACCAGCGACAACGATCTAGTGAGACATCCTCATCTTAATCTGCTCTGGTAGGTAAATAAACTGTTAAAGATAACGTTAGCTTGATATCTTAGCTTCCATTGCCACCGTTGTTATCAGCTAATGGTGCGTTCACTTTCTCCTCGGAAATTCTAACTTCCCAGTAGGAAAAATCAAATGAAAAAGGACAGCAAAAGGAATGAAGATACACAGTAAATTTAGTTCAGAGTAAAGATTTTTGCTTCAGTTTAATTATCAGCTTATAAAACTACAAGGACGATGTTAAAATACAAACAGTTGTATGTTATTTATTGTGATATTTATCAAATATTGTTATATATTGAGAAAAATATATATTTAATTATAAAAGAGAATTAAAATAATAAACACTCAAAAGTATCGAAAATTGGTACCGTTAAGTACCGGTATCGATTCCTAGGTACCGGGAATTAGTACCGGATCGATTCAAATGTCAAAGGTACCCATCCCTAATTGTGGGGGACTTGAGCTGAGTTTTTCAGCATTGGGAGTTTAATGACAGCAATTTTAAAGTGGCACAAATTTATTTGTGCTTCCATTCTGCTTCACAAGCAATTTTTCTAATTTTACTAATACCGGTTGTTTTGGACGACTTCTGCTGTCATTTCCTACTGAGTTACAGCCAATCGGCGTGAGTTAACCGTAAATTCCACTCAGCTACTCCGAGTACCCACCCCTGTTCAGGTACTTTGAAAAGTCCTGAAAATGGCCCGTTCAGCCGGCCTGGTGAAGTGGACACAAGCTGGGAAGTTTAAGTAAAATTACCCAGAAGTTCAGATAGTGGAAACGCGCCTCATCTGGCATTCATTCAGTCTGTGTTCCCAGTACGTCCTGAAACATGAGTGCTCTGACGTTCTTCTTTGTTGCTTTCCTCTTGTCCAACAAGAGCTACAAGGATAAAGATGGAAGCGTGTATCCAAAGCGGCCTGTGGCTTCTTTTCTGTTTACTTCAGATGCAGAGGATGCACATACTTTTATTACTAGTTATGTAACAGAAAATCTGCACGACTTTTATTTAGAAAATTTCCAAATGTTTTTCACGGCTTTTGTGTTTGACTTTCTTTCTGATCTAAACAGCGGAGTTTGATGTGTTCTGAAAGCGCAGTGAAAAATTAAGCGTCCACCACTTTGGGAAGCTTCCAAAACGTTACGCTATGTGGCCGGTGGGGAAACACTCATTATGATGGTAGCTAACTGTTAGCCTGGCCTGCCAGAGTCACTCTCTGTTTAATTCTGCACAGAGAAAGGGTCTGGGAACTCTCCTATTCAAATAACCCCGAGAATTCTAACCGAGCCAACCAGCGCTGAGTAGCTTACGTCCCACACCATAATGCCGAGTTTGTCGAACATGACGACTGAAGCGGAGTTCGCTGCAGCTCTTTCCTCTGGTCTAAATGACTTGGACATGTCTTTAAAACGACATCAAGTAGAGGCGCTAAAAGCCTTTCTTCTAAAGAAAGATGCTTGCGCTGTCGCCAGACGCCTTTTTTGACTACAGCTAAAAAAACTACAGAGTTGCGCAGTACAGTCAGCATTTCCATCTTTTTCTGATTGGTTATTTTTGAGCTGCCTAGTCCCGCCCCTCAAGTGCCTCTCTGCCTGTGAGATACCAGAGTCTTTTTCTGTGCAGAATTAAACAGAGGTCGAGTCTGGCAGGCCAGGCTAGCTAACTGTTGCATACTATGTTCACATCAGTTAGAAAAGCCCGGTTAGACACCCCAAGCTGCCTTTATTCAGCAACAAAACTGTATACCTGGTTTCAAACTCTAGGACCTCATCTAAATGAAAAAGTACACGTTGATCTTCAGAAACATCTAAACTGAATCAGTGACAGAGCCAATTCTTGCATGTTAACATTCTGCCAGCTGGTGAAGACATGAAAAGGGTGTTCACCTTGACATTTGGTGTGTAGAGGTTCCTCAGGGAAGCCAAGGCTGCAGAAAGTCCATCAGCACTGCAGCTGATCCACAAAGCCTGAAGCACACTGGACGACACTCCCGTTTTCTTACTCAGGCCCTGCAGGTAAACCCATACATACATCAATATGCACAAACACACACATCAACAAACCTGAGCGGCAGATGTTCGACATTTTACAAGTAAAAAGCAAAGCAAATACCAAGTGTTTTTTTCTCCAGGAATTGGTTTTTGAGCCGGCATTGTGGCTGTACCTTAAAGATGTGTGCCTTCAGGATATGGTGGCCCAGCTCCATTGTCTGCTGACGATTCAGTTTCCCCTCCTGGCGCGATAACATAAAGGCCATGAAAGCATGGCCGCTCCTGAGTGAGAAACCAACAGACAGAAAAGTCTGCTGTCAAATCCAGGAAACACTGTTCATCTGCATCATATCACATGAAAGCACTTATTATTCTGGTAATGAAGTCTGTGTCATGGAGAAGCTCTTTATTCCAGACTGGTGTGAATTCACTGAAACTGCTGTGCGGTGACCCACAGATGGAAAGAAAAAGTGTAAAATAAATAAATAAATAAAACTTCTGTTGTCATTCACTTCTTCACTCTGGCACCAATTAATACAGAACTTCATTAAAAGGGCATGCATGATTGCAGCTCACTTTGATCCGGTTACGATTCTCCCCGTTTGTGCTGAAGCACTGAAAGGCAGAGTGAGGAAAGCTTTTGTCTGTCTGTGCCAGAATATAAAACCTTTGTTTTTAATTAAGCTGGAGGGCTGTGAACGACCAGAATACAAAGCTCAGCGCTGGTCCATTCAGAGGCATCCGTACGTTAGCGAGGTGCACAAGAGGGAGGGAGTCTGAAAAATACACTCCAGCTGACATCATTGAGCTTATTAAATGTGTATTGCTGTTGTGAATTCAGAATTTTAAATTGGTCAGAGGGAGAAAAAATATAACTAAATCAGTCTGCAGCAAAGCAGGAAAGAGGAGTGTTTATTTTACCTTCCTATATGGCTGCATTTAATTTAGAAAACCAGGAGCAATAAAAACAGATAATTGCGTTTATTTTTTTATCTGTACATTTGTTCACGTTCAGTTTTAATTTATGAGCTAATTTCTACAGGATGTCTTATAAACTTATTGCTGTCTCATGTAATTTTTTTAGGTTTAGGCAGACAAATAAGCAGTTTAAATGCATGCATTAATGAATCCGAGGATAAAACTGATGATTTCTGCAATTCGACTTAGTTTAAAGTGACAAATGTTAGGAAATGAAAACAGACTAAAGGCAGCAACAAATCAAACGTAAATGGGGCGTATGATTCTTTTTACTTAACTTAGTTATTTAGTTGATATAGAGCACGTTTATGACGTTCTTTACTCTAAATCCATTCACCTAAATATGTTTGAATGGTTTTACTCTTTCAGTACCTTCCAGAATGAGCCGTTTCAGGGGTCATTTTAAGAATACAATCTGGAGCAGGCCACGCCTACCCATCCCCCACTCAGGCTGAGAAGCTCTGGCACTAGAGAAGGATTTGGAGTGAAGACACTGCTCCTCCAGCTGCAGCTCTCTTGCACGTGAGAGGTGGTTATATTGGCGCTTACACGTTAGCGTCGGCACAGCCGCAGAAGATATCGAACGGCACCGGAATTTGGTTTCACACACAGGTCAGATTTACGTTTTTGGTGCAGAGGCGACTTTCTCTCATACCTTCTCCCCAGCGGTCAGACTGGGACTGAGGTGACACTACGGACTGAGTACACCTACTGCCTCCGATCTGTGAGAAGCGCCGGGGGGGGGGGGGGGGGGGGGGGGGGGGGTCCCCCGCATGCACGATTCATTTTCATGCTGGATGCTGGTGAGTAAACTTCTGTCTGTAGCACGGAGCTGCCGTTAAGTGTGGGAACGGGACAAAAGAATAGCTGTGTGTGTGTTCCTATTCTCCACAACAGAGCTCTTGCCCTGGTGAGCAGACAGCTGTGCTCAGGGGAGGTGTGTGTGTGTGTGTGTGTGTGTGTGCGTGCGTGCGTGTCACAAGATGATGAGGCCACGCACAGCAAATTAATAAAACAATGTGGTTCCGAGTCTCCACAATCAACACAGCTCATGTCCGCCTTTCGTTTACCTTATGGAGCGGACTTTCCCGCGCATATTAAGCGCCGCCCACATGCTCGGGGATTTCTGCATTCCTGAGATGTCCCTCTGATTTATATGTGAACACTACACCGCCCGTACCAGCCCAAAGTCACGCCATCCAGCCCGACTGTGCCGACGCTAAAGTGTAAGCACCATAAACCCTGATTGTGACATCACAAACAGGGTATTTTTGAAACGGCCTGTTCTAGGCACATAATTCCTAAAACCAATTGTTTTTTTCTTCCTTGGAGTGTTTCTAGAGATAGTAGAGACCTACATGGCAGCACAAAATGATGCAAAGGGTGAGTTTAGCTAAATTTGTTCCCTTTAATGTACCATCAGTTATAATTATTTTCTTTTAAAGCAAACATTTGTGGATTCTGAAAATCCACTGATGAGTCATATACCTCACAAACGGCGGGTTTCTGCAGAAATGTACTATAGCAAACCAAGAAAAATGGGATGCAGAAACAAGTTCACTTTGCTGTTTGTTTTTCTACTCATTCTGTACATCAGAAACATTCAGTTAACAACTAAACAAACCTATCTTCTTGTCTACAGCAGCATTATGAGTGTTTTTAAATGGCTTTGTACTTAGAACAAAGTCAAAAGTTGTCGGGTTATTATTGTAGCAGCAGGATGTTTAACACAGTTACCTCACAGAGTCAGAAGTGTGCTGTGCTGTGTATGTTAATTAGAACGTTCTGCATTTTCTTTCTTTACAATCCTTCCTTGCATGCAAAACAGCAACCGCCACAAAAGCAAACACCAAACAATTAATTGGTTCATTATACTGTGAAATAAAGACTCGGAATAATTGGTTTACGCATAAATATGGGCGGCTATAGCTACAGTTTGAATTAAAGGCCCAGATTTCCATTTATGTTCCCTGACAACGGCAACAATTAGATGATTAAAATGTCTTTCTTACTGATACCACATCAGTATGTCTTAATTATATCCTGCTGCAGACAGAAGTGAGTAATGGTCTGCACGCTTTGCAAGCTTATCAGAAGTACCAGGGGTCTAGATTTCTAAGGAGCGTTTCACATTTGCTTACAGAGCAGAGGACTGACCTGGGGTCACACAGGAAATCTGTGCTCTCTCCATCTGCTCGCCATACCAGCCACTCTCTGAAGGAAGGGTGGCAGAACATGCGCGTCTTGTCACGCCGTTTGATGAGGAAACCCGCGAGCAGGTCCATGCGCTGCCGAAAATCCTCCCAGGGCAGCTCGCCTTGGATGTAGCCGGCGTTGATGGCCTGGAAAAGCTGCTCATCGGTCATGGGGTGCAGCGACGCCAGAGCCACGTTGAGGATGGGCACAGAGCGCTCAAAAGCTGTATTGGTCATGAACTTCATGTTGCACTGGAGCTGGTAAAGTTCAGCCAGCGAAACGGGAACAACTTTGTAGCTGGAGCTTTTGATGACGAGGTGGCCTTTCTCAAAGAGGTCTAAGGTGAGTTTGAGATACAGGTAGGAGCCCTGGCTGAGGGAGATCAGGTGGCTGCTGAGCTTGCTCACGGTGCCGGGGTCGGCCTTCCCGTTCAAGCTAATGTTGTTCATAATATCCTTACCGCTATTGATGCGGTACTGAATGTAAGCATTCAGGTCGTTGCTTATCTCTTTGTTGTCATTAAAGTCATCCAGGGAGATCTTGGAGAAGGGCAGAAGGCTGGTGATGTCCTGTAGAGGAAGGGTAAACAAAAGTGCATTTGTGAAAATAATTCCCTCATGATTTAAACCAGTGCCAGAATTTTTATTTAAATCATACAGTATATAATAAAGCTATAAAAGTGTCATTCCTCACAAAAGTCAGAATCAAAACTCGTCAAAGTAAACTCTGGCAGGCTTCTTGAGCAGCAGAGGGAACAAGCTCACTGAGCTATCAGGCTAAAGCAGGCACTTGTTAATCTTAGAGTGGCTATGATGGAGACCAGACCGGAAAAGTGAGCGGATGGATGGGACGATGGCTAGCAGCACATCAGAGGTCTTAGCTGGAGCTCACATTTCAATCCCACGTCCTGGAGGTTGACAGAATCGATGCACCTTAATCCTGCAATGCTATGGCTGTCTAAACCTCGAGAAGCCCTGGTGAGATAACACTTCTCTCTTCCTCATCAGGACGGGTTACAGAAAACACACACACACACACACACACACACGCGCGCGCGCGCACACACACACACACGAATGCACCAAGACTTTGATCAATAAGGTGATGGGTAATTCCTCACAGATAGTCAACAAAGCAACCAAAACAAAAAAGATATTAAATGTTTTGAAGGGAGAATATGAAAATAATGTTTTAACAGACATAAAAAAAAAGAAAAAAAAAACTGCTAAATATTAAGAAAATTATGATTGTTAGTAACAGCATCTTTCTAGACGGCTAGGTTGAATCTGCAGTGCATACTGAGGGACACAAGTTGATGTCTGGCTTCAGCATGTGCATTAATAACCTCCATTCTGGAAGTCAGTCAAGTGTTGCTTGGCTCACCGGGCTTGCCCAAAGCCTCGAGCTACAGGCACTGAGCTCAACCCTGACCCCAGACCAGTTTAAACAAGGGTCATTTGTGCTCGACTCTCTATAGAAAGTTGCATTTTTCTCAAGAAACTTTTATGTATAGCAGTTGGGTTTGAAAAGACCTTTAGAATCAAAAAGTTCTCTTTTTCTCAGATTTCTCTTACCAGCAGGTTGACACGAACGGTGATCACCAGTTTAAGCCACGGAGGGAACTTGGTGATGATTTTAGAGATGAAAGACGCGATGGTGTCTCCGTAGTCGGGTTTATGAAACTCTGCTTCGTTCAGCCCATCTATCAAGATGATGTGGTTCTCCTCAGAAATCTTCCTTTCTGTAAACACATGCGCGCACACACACACACACACACACACACACACACACACACACACACACACACACACACACACACACACACACACACACACAATGTGCTCTGCTCAGTGTTAAAGTGACAATGTGTAGTTTTTACCATTAATCTCTGGAAGTATCCATCAAAATGTTGTTGTAAATGAATTAAAAGATGCCGAGTTGTTGAAAAATATTGGCCGTTTCATAACTTATAACCATAAAAATCTGTTCTAAAATACATGGAGTGGGTCTAGGTGTCTGGGCAACGCCATATTGGATGCCACGTTTCCTTCTGTGGAAGTCTGTGAGGACAAAATGCATTTACTCATTTGTAGCAAATGGTTACAAAACCAGAGCACAGGGACCCCAGGGAGACTGTGACCAGAAAAGCCCCTGCCCCCCTCGAGAGGTGCAGAGGATCGCCTCATGGGGCCACAACCAGCAGCCGGCAGAGTCCCGGGAGATATCAGCGGCAAGCCCACAGGCCCGCCCGCAGCCTCCTACCCCCAAGCCGACTGAGCCCAGGACCCAGCAACCTGGGACCCAGGGGCGACCACCCCCGCCGGGGACCCAGCAGAGCCCAGGGACCCAGATCCTACCAGGCAGCCACCGGGATTGGTCAGGCAGACGCCAAAAATCTTAAACCCCCTGACCCGGGAGCCACGAACACTCAGGCAGACCAAGGCACCGCACTCCACACCAGGTGTGGCAGGGGGAGGGGAGACGAAGATGTATTGACCCTTTGCACGTGACGTCAGGCCACTCATGTGACTGCCTCCTTTGCCATGATGGACGGCAAAAAGACAGTTTACACCCGTTGGAACTCCAGTGAAGGTAGTCAAAACAAGCCAGTTTGTATCCTTTTATCCAGGGTATCTGCAGGTTTAAGGGAGCCAAATTTAAGACTTTTTAAGACCTTTTTAAGGCCACTTTGACCAAATTTAAGCTATTTTTTAAAATTTAATTTAAGCTATAATTTCCAGCTATTGCCTGGAACCGGTGCTAGCCACGTCGCAAACGTGGGATTAGCCATCCAGTTACCATTAAACTTGCACTTCCCCATGGTGCAAGCTCCCACTAGCTTAACCAGCTAATGTGCTCATCTAAAAATAGCCCCCTCTCACAACCAACTGAATGTGTACGGTTCCGCTTACGCCAACATCGTACACAAATAATGCTGAACACTAACTAAAAAGTCACGAAAATTTTATAGAAAAAAAAATATCTTGTTTATTGGGTCTTTGGTCATTTAAGACCTTTGGAAACTGTATTTAAGGATTATTTGTCATTTCTAAGGATTTTTAAGGCCTTAAATTTGGAAAAGCTAATTTAAGACTTTTTAAGGACCCGCGGATACCCTGTTTATCGCTTTTATTTAGGTAATTTGACAGTAACATGGTTTTAGCTTGCTGCGTGGTTGGCAGGGGGGGCTTAGATAATGAGGACACACAGCCATTTTTACTGCAGTTTTGCTCAAAAACAGTTCAGTCCCTGTGATCCACTTGCTGTTTACCTCCTCTCTCCCTCCTCTCCTGTGGGTTGGAACCTGCACCTTTGCGCACCGATGTGACGTCATCAGAATTTTGCTCGCTTCGGTAGCCGGACTCGGTTCCGAAATTGAAACGTGTTTCTCTACCGCTCCGCACGGAAGCGGCAAAAACATTTTTCATCTGAGGTTTTAATACACATTTACACATGCTGTTCAAACGAATTTTGCCTCTGGCCGATATCTTTAAATGAGTGAGTGAACCCACTACCAAGGATGAACTCCGCTAACTTTAAAAATCAGCTGCTCTAAATAAGCATGAAGGTCAGAGACGAGCTCTAGGATGGACACGGATAAAGGAACTGTAATGTAGAGGTAAAGTAGGGCAGGACCAACGTTTGCAGCTGTCATACGGTCCATCTGAAATGTTGGACTTTCATTTAGCTTGTGATGTGACCGGTTAGAGCAAAGTCTCATGTTAGAGTTTCGTCATGAGAACATTGAGATACCTCACATACTGATGGCATCTAAAAAATGTTTTTTCTTTTTCAAAATAAAGAATAATTTTAACCACAATTGAAACGTACAATCTTAGAAAAACCTCGTCCAATCAATGTGAACGTCCTGTTCTCACTGATTGGATAGAAATCCTTCCATCAAACTGTGTGTGTGTGTGTGTGTGTGTGCGACACGAGCGTGTTATGGTTTTGCACTGATGTAACCATCTTTACGCTGACAAAAATGTAACTAAGTAACTTTTACTTTGAGTACATTTTATTTACGATACTTTTTACTTTTACTTGAGTAAAAATTTAGGCAAGTACTTTTACTTGTACGTGAGTAAAAATTATCAAAGTACTGGTACTTGTACTTAAGTAGGAAATGTTAGTACTCTTTCGACCTCTGGCCACAGGAATGCGGAAATGGGGTCCATACCTGCACCCCCTGACTTGTCCAACCCCCAAGGTCCTATGTGCATGATTGTGTGATGATGTGAGGGAGCAGCAGGAGAAAAATGTGTGGGGATGGGGAGGAATGGCTGGTTGGAGTTCATACAAATCTAACTTTTAATCCAGTTTGAACTTTATTGTTTTTGTTCTTTTTTTAAATTCTCATTTTAAAAGATTTCTGTTGAATCAAGACTTAAAAGTTTTCACAAATGGTCAAATATGGTTTGGCATCAATCAAATATTAAAGACATATGAATGAAATGTTATTTGTTTTCTTGTTTCATAGTTTTTCTTTTTTTCAGTAAGATATAAGGATTTAAACTTGTCTCTACCAATCAACCTACAACTTAAGGTTAAATCAGTGGAAGCAGTTATATTAAAACCTTAAATACCGGCCTGATACAGCAGTTGACCGATGGTTTTTTTGGAAAGCACCTTGACTTAGGCCGTTTTCTACATGCAAGAATTTAAATTAATTGTAAAACAAACTGCAGTCAGACAAGCCAAAGTACAACATTAATAAAATAAAATCAACATGCAAAAATCCCCTAAACATGATTTTGTACCTTTACGAAGGTTGGCCAGTGGTTCCAGGACCCCCCTTCGGAAAGCTGCCATGGGGTCTTGGACACAGGAGCGCAGGCTGAGCATGCTCTGAAGGTGAGGCTCCTTCAGCAGCAGCTCCCTGTATGCAGAGAGCTGATGTGACCTGCACAGCAAGGCTGCAATGCTGTGTACGAACTCTGGCACAAGGCAGGTGTATGTGTTGTCCGCCTGGCAATAATGATACGCAACCACCTAAAACAAATAAACAACACGAAGATAAAGAGGTAAACAAGAGTTTTGAGAATGGAAAACTTCTGCTACAGTTCTAAAAAAACTGGGCTTCTCTTTAAACAGTCAGAGACCAAGATTTTATCCAGATTAGTCAAAGTAATATTAAGAAATTGTCTTTTTACCCCTAAATATGTAGAAAGGCCAACAAGTACAGAGTAGGATACCTAAAAGCTAGAGGTTGAGAGTTACTGAGGTTTCTGCACTAAAGATGTCTCATTAAAGAGGAGAGGTGGAGCAGAGGTGAGAAGATGAAAAGAGAAATGCCCTTGAGAGATTTGACTTTACCAATTACAGTTCACCCTGAAGGAGCTGACACACTCAGCAGGAGGAGTCGTGTTTCTCTGCTGATCGCCTAAATGATGCTGCTGTCTAAGCTTTACACATTATTACTATTATTTTCTGTCCGTACCAAGACTTTATGATTTCAATAAACTACAAGTATGCAGCAATTCCTTAAACTTAAAACTTTTTGTGTTGCTGCTCCAGACGTCTAAAACCGGGTCAGGTCATTAACTAAAACACATCATCTGCAATACCGGTAATTATGGAGAAACTGTTTTTTTCCTTTGGGAAAAGCTGTTAAAGCAAAGCATGATTTAAAATGCTTAATGGATAATGGCTGCATCAGTAATCAACACAAGACAAGATGATGCAACGCCACAGTGAATCTGCAGCAGCTTATCTAAAGCACAGCAATAAATTCATGTATAGAAAAAAAATGTCTGAACTCTGTAATAGGAGAAAGGCATTAAGACCATAATGCACCAAAATCTGCAATAGCCTCAGCGCCCTGTTATGAGTCCCTTTTACATCAATGATTAAAAGGAACTGACAGAATTTGACAGAAACTGCTCTGTGTTGCATCAGAGTTCACACATCACAGGAACAGCGTCCCCCAGAGAGAGCGCCTATTGGAAACACTTTACACAGTAATTGGCTCAAGGGATTTTTCTTGGGTTTCACAGACATTTAGGATCTTGATGCATAAATAGTTGGCTATCTGGTGCATAAACAATCCCAGTGGGAGGAAAAAGGCTATGCAGCATCAATATGGGCTATGGAGCTCCGGGAGTTGACGTCACTTCTCCCGGCATGCAACGGTTCAAATCGAAACGCCGCCATATTGGCATGCAGAAGCCCGCAGCTGGACTATTTGTTATTGTCAGAAAACTCAATCAAACGGGAAATACCGTAAATCCTCTAATATTGGCCTGTATTTAAATAACTGCCGGGTATCACATTTTGGCCGGTGTCGGAGTCGGCGGAGGTGAATAATGGCCGTTTTTTTTATTGTGGCCGGGTGGAATGTGGTAACAAGCAAGTACCACAGGGGGGGCGGTTGTGTCATCCGTCTCACTTTTGATTTGCCAGTGATAGACCGCGAGGGTAACTTTAACCGTGCGGAGACGAAAAGGAGACGAAAATTTGATATCAAGTTCAAAGAGAACGTGCTGATTATGCTGCAGAACACTCTGGGGAGCAGTAGGGGTTGTATGAACTAGTCACTAGTCGACTTCACCGCTCTATAGTGACTTTTTATGCCTGTCATCGACCGGTCCGTGGCCGGCAAGATGCAGTCCACGGAAAAGACCGCAGCCTGCTGTCAGCAGGTGACAAGCTCCTGCGCATCGGGAGGCAACGCCCTGTGCCAGAGCGTCAGCACTGACACCCGCCGTAAAACGGACATTTAACCAAATTGTGACCTTTACCCTCTTGCAATTTAACCTTCCCCTCACCCCCATCCTAACCTTAACCAGCTTGCGCATGCAAAGCTCTGATTGTTGACGCGCTCCAGACATCTGCGTCCTGAGCACGGCCACAGTAACATTATCAAATCGGGTGTCGCCACCTCAAAAACTAATTTAACACGCAATCGTTCATGTCGGCTCATTTCCTTTTATGTTTTCTGTCTTTTATTCTTTTATTTGTGCCTGATGCTTTTCGCTGCTGTGGATCGTGGCGCATCACCTGTTTTGTCCTCGGTGAAGCACCACTGATGTGGCCGGCGAGCAGCGAGCGCTCCGCTGTTTTTGCGGTCGGTAGATCTTTTAGAACTGCAGTTCAAAGGTAACTCATAAGGTGAATATATATGAACCCAGGTAGCAGTTTTTCTTTAGGATTGAGAGGAGATGCAGGAAGATAATAAACAGGCAGGACAGAAAAACAGTCAAATAAAAACAAGTTAGTTTTGTACCTGGTGGTTGCAACAAACAGACACCATTGAAGGTAATCAGAAGTGAGGAACAGAAAATGAAATAATTATTTTAATGTTTAGAGCAGCAGGAACTCCGAGAGGCTGCAGGCGCATCAGTGAGTTTGCGGCCGCTGCGCAGGGGGAGGGGGGGAGAGGGCTGAAGCAGAAACTACCTTTGTTAAAAGAAATGTGTTTAACTTTGAAAATGTGGGTGCAATTTTAACTGTCAAAAACTCCAGCGAACCATTAGTTCATTTTGCTCAAATAGAAATTGAGGCCTGCCTCTAATTCTGGTCCTCCTTCCAATAAAGGCCTGGAGCTTGATGAGCTTGAGTCAAATACAGACCTGTATTAGAGGATTTACGGTATGGTAGATTCCTGTTGTGCCCCAGGATGCAGAACAGACACGGACGACATAAGGAATGAGCCATCTACAGGATTCCCCAAGATCCGGAGCTCCACAAACGTTGGATCATTGTAATAAAACGCGCTAGTGACCGGGCTAAAATGAAACTGTGGGATCCCGAGAGTAAAGGTTTTCACTTATGCAGCGACCACTTCATATCAGGTACTTAAACCAACGTTTCCTCAACTGTATATGGTATTTATTTTAAATGCTTTTATTACGATTCTTAGTGGGCTTCCTAAACTTATTTTGGCGTGGATTTTTCTGTCTTATTACTCATAGCAACAAGTAAACGTCACGTAAAACGTTGCCTCGTGATTTCTGCGTGCTGCCGTTTACGTGTTTTATGATCACAGCAATTAACTGGCTTAGCTGTATTTAATTTTTAAGCAATGGTTGATCAATTGTCAGATCACACATAAAAAGCACTTTGGATTGCTATTATCTGTCTCACCGAGACAGATCTCAGACAGACCTCAGACAGATCCTGAGACGCTCCTGCCTGACATTTTTATTTTATTCACGGAAAAAAATCAACTAGTGATTTCTCTTGGCGTTCAGTTTATACATTCAAACAGCACAGCACTCTATTTAGACTTCTTACATGTAAATCTATGTTATTTGTCCATCCATCCATCCATTTTCTTCCATTTATCCGAAGTCGGGTTACGGGGGCAGTAGCGTTGAGCGGCCCAGACTTCCCTCTCCCCAGCCACTTGGGCCAGCTCCTCCGGGGAAATCCCAAGGGGTTCCCCGGTAAGAAGTCCGCTCCGACGGCTTCTGGCGTTTTTAAAAAGTATCCCAGGGGCACGGTAAGGGTAGGAGATGTTTTGTCTATTTAATTTCTGACTATATAAAATGATTTCTTTGGTTTTAAAGTGTGAAGTAAACTCCGACGAAGTAAAGTCCAAGCCGATCCCGTTCATGTTCATGTTTACGATCCGTGTTTGTTTACCTGTTTTTCCTGCCAATATGGCGTCTACTAACTGAGAGTCACGTGGGGTCCGGAGCTCTATTGAGGCAGCGCCCAGGAGGAGGTGAGAATGTTAAACCTAAATCATCATATTCCGTCACCATTTAAAAACAATCCAAACAGCTGATTTATTCATTTCAATTTTCCTACCAATGCATTTTTTCTTTGAACGGTGACAAAAAAAAAAAAAAAATACACAACTGTTTTATTTTTCTACCTTGGCACCAAGGCGTTTCACCGCCTCCTCCCTACGTCGCTGCAGCTCGGGGGTTCCTGGGCAGCTGCTGGTGCTCAGAGTGTTGGTGGCGCTGGATGGGGGCGTGGGTTGTGGCGGCTGGCTGAGAGGAAGTTCAGCTCCTTGTCCTGTTCCACCTGAGAGACATAGGTACAATTTTTGGAACATTTATTTAATAGTTAAACAATCACAAACTATAAGTTGCTAGTTACAGAAAAAAGTAACTAGTTAGTTACTTTATTCAATTCTATTCTGTTTATTTATATAGCGCCAAACCACGACAAGTCATTTTAAGGGACTTTACAAAGTAAACATTTTTATTTTACCTATATATCAGTTGAATTAATTAGGCCTAATAATTAAAAGTTTCCTGTGGTTGAATGTTGTAGAAACAAATAGTTGAAGACAAAGACAGGGCTCATAAGGAGCTTACTTTTAGGAGAGGCACAGGGACTGTTGGAGGCGATCTGGCGCATGCGTCCTCCGTGGCAGCTCAGCGCCACCAGCCGGGAGATGATGGCTGTCTTCCCATACCCCACACTGCCCACCACCATCGCTCCCTGGGTCCCACTGGAATCGCCGGCCTTCAGGGTATCCTCCAGCTGCTGAAAGAGCCAATCTCGACCAATGAACACAGAGTCCGTGGTGATGCTGGGTACCTCAAACAACAAGGGTTTGAGCATGATGTCCACAGGCTTGTAGGGGGCAAAGCGGGCTGAGAAAGGAGGAAAAAGATTCAAAACAGAAATAAATAGATTTGTGGTGATATTGTTTTTAAAACTATCCAACACTTTGCTGTAGCATCACTTTTTCCCCGTTTTATATCACTCATAACCAGCCTCACACACAAATAGGCCTTTTCCAACAGCACAGTTCTGAGGGGTCTTTCTTCTGTAACATCTCACCAGGGAGACGTCAAGGGGGCACCCTAACCAGGTCCCCGAGCCGCCTTTGGCTCCTCTCGATGTGGAGGAGCAGCGGATCTACTCCAAGCCCCTCCCGGATGACCCTGCTTCTCACCTTATCTGTAAGGGAGAGTCCAGACACCCGCAATCTCATTCTTTTATTCACTACTCAAAGCTTGTGACCACGGTTGCAACGCAGATTAAACAGTAAACTGACAGCTTTGCCTTTTGACTCAGACCTCTCATCAATAAAGATGTGGTTGTTATATGAAAGATATTTCTATGGTCACTTCTGATCATCTGTAATGACAGAAACTGAAGATCAATCTTACATATTAGCCTTTTTTCATAGTAGTCAAGCTTCTACTAAAATCCAATCTTCTTTTGTGCGTCCCAAAGTAAAACAGACGCGTTTCCATGTGCAGGTTGCAGCCGTTTAACTCATTAACTGCCATTGATGACTTAAGTTGTCATTTTAAATACAATCGCTCGCTGCCACTGATGAAGAAAGTAGTCATTTGCATTTCTTCACTGGGCAGGCGTCAGAACGAGACCCCGGGCCGTTAGAAAAAACATCACGTCTCTAAAGCCGATCTTCATCCGCGTACGTCACGTGATCAGGAAGCAGAAAATCCATGTGTTAGGAGATCATTTAGAGCCGCTGCTGTAAAAAAAAAGGTTAGGCACGAACCAGAAAAGCTTCTGCCAATCACAATTCAACAACGAATAATGAAAAAATGGATAACACTTGAAACACGTGGATTCTTCCTGATGTAAGAGGTGAGTCTCCGCTTAGTTTTGTTAGTTTTGGCGTTGACATTATCATAGAGCACAACGTTCTGTGACTTTTTAAAAAAACGTAAAAACACTCAAAAAAAAAAAAAACTGGCAGCGAGAGGCTTTTCTGTTCAGAGAACAGCCGGAAGTTCTTTTGAGTTTCAGGCACAGTCACCTTTAGAGTCCTGAGGAGGCCGTCCTCCTGTGTTGTGCCACGGCAGGCGGATGGAAGTCCGCAGAGGGGTGTTGCGCTGCTCATCGAGGAAACTCAGGTCTTCCAGCTTTGTGGAACTGGTCGCTGCAAAATAAAGAAACAAATTCATTTGTGGTTTTGTGACTTGGGAGTGCATCTTTCATAACAATCGAGTGAGACAAACATCAGATTAATACTTTGCTGCAGCTGTACCTCCTCTGAGAGGAGCACACAGAAGGAGATGCAAGGCAGTGTGCTTTGACATTTGGAGTTTCCTAGAGGCAGTATGTGCAGAAATCGGTAAAGTGCATCAGAAAGAATAGCAGCATCCCAAAGTTAGGGGAGATGCACTCTGTTCTTCTTTGATTTCATCTGACAGCTACACACAGCACAGCAGTAAGAGGTCTATCCCTACACACACCCCACTGGGCTGGACAGATGGCCTTTATTTATCCTGAAAATAGGAGTCCAGTTGGGGCATGCGATAGATTCATCCTGTTGCCAGTTTGAGCATAGACACTGAGAAATAGACTAACATCCAAAAGTTTGTCAGTAATTCAAGGTAAAAGGTGAAACTAATACATGAGATAGACTTATTTAATTCAAAGCAAATATTTTAAGCCGTTATTTTGTTATAATTATGATGATTAAGGCTTGCTGCTTGTGAAAACCCCAAATTCATTATCTCAGACAATTAGAATATTGTGAAAAAAAAAACATTATTCTAGACCAGTGGTTCTTAACCTGGGTTCGATCGAACCCTAGGGGTTCGGTGAGTCGGTCTCAGGGGTTCGGTGGAGCCTCTGCCGCAGAGGTCCACCCCTCAGTCTAGTCTGCAGTTAGTGGGCACAGTCATTGAATGCGTCCTGCTCGGAGATTTCCTACCGGTCCGCTTTGAGGTCGCTGGTTCATGCAGCAGAGTGCGACCTCATATGGGCTGTATATGTGTCTGAGTGAGACTCCCTACAGGTCCACTTTGAGAGCGCTGGATAAGCAGCAGAGTGAGACCTCCTTCTCAGTCGGGACCAGCGGTGTGCGTCAGTGACGTTGGGTTAGCGTGACGCCGACCCCACGTCCACCTCCAACCGCCAAAACGTGTGACTGTCGGTTTGTCGTGTGATTTCTTACGGAATATTTTAATCCATGCTAACTATGTCGGGCAAAAAAAGAAAGTGGTCGGACGAATATGTAAAACATGGATTTACATGTATCACGGAACGTGACGGGAGTCAGCGTCCCATCTGCATGATTTGCAATGCCAAGTTGAGCAACTCTAGTCTCGCACCTGCAAAACTGAAGGAACACTTCTTGAAGCTGCATGGAGATGGGGAATACAAGAACACAACGCTTGCTGAATTCAAGGTGAAGAGAGCCAGATTCGACGAAAAGGCCACTCTGCCTGCTCTTGGATTCGTACCCATCAACAAACCGATCCTCACAGCATCGTATGAAGTTGCTTATCTGATCGCAAAGCAGGGCAAACCGCACACCATTGGCGAAACACTCGCAAAACCAGCTGCGTTAAAGATGGCGAATCTGATACTCGGAACAGCGGCTGAAGGTAAATTATCCCAAATTCCTCTTTCAAATGACACCATCAGCGACAGAATAGAGTGCATGAGTAAAGACATCTTGGCTCAAGTAGTCGCGGATCTGATTTCAAGCCCGGCAAAATTCAGCCTTCAACTCGACGAGACCACCGACGTTTCCAATCTAAGCCAGCTTGCCGTTTTTGTGCGCTATGTGAAAGACGACATGATAAAAGAAGAGTTTTTATTTTGTAAGCCTCTTACAACAACAACTAAGGCAGCTGATGTGAAGAAGCTTGTGGATGACTTCTTCAGAGACAACAACCTTTCATGGGATATGGTTTCTGCAGTTTGTACGGACGGAGCTCCAGTGATGCTGGGAAGAAAGTCTGGTTTTGGCGCGCTAGTAAAAGCCGACACACCGCACATCATTGTTACACATTGCATTCTGCACAGGCATGCGTTGGCAACAAAAACCTTGCCGCCCAAAATGGCAGAAGTATTAAAAATTGTAGTGGAATGTGTGAACTATGTGCGCAATAGTGCTCTGAGGCACCGCATCTTCAGTGAGCTGTGTAAAGAAATGGGCTCTGAATTCGAGGTACTTCTTTACCATTCGAATGTTCGGTGGTTATCCCGGGGACAGGTGCTGAATCGTGTTTTTGCCATGCGTGTGGAATTAGCCCAGTTTTTGCAAGAGCACCAACATTGTCATGCAGATTGCTTCAAAGATTCTGAGTTCATTCTCATTTTAGCATACATGGCTGATATATTCGCAGCTCTCAATCATCTAAATCAGCAGATGCAGGGTGGTGGAGTTAACATAATGGAAGCAGAAGAAAACCTGAAGGCTTTTCAAAAAAAGTTACCGTTATGGAAACGACGAGCAGAGAACAACAACTTCGCAAACTTCCCCCTTCTGGACGACTGTGTAAGTAAGATCGAAGATGTGTGTGGACTTGGAGACATATCTGTACCCATGGAACTGAAGCAAACAATTGCCACACACTTAGATGAGCTTGCGAAGTCTCTCGATGGATACTTCCCAACAAGAGCATCATATCCAGCATGGGTGAGACAGCCGTTCATGTTTGCTATTGAGACAGCAGATGTCAATGATGAATACCTCGACGAAATCATTGAACTTCAGCAGAGCCAGGTTCAACAGCAACTCTTCGGAACAACAACGCTCTCAACGTTTTGGTGTCAACAAATGGAAAAGTATCCAGTTATTGCTAAGAAGGCCCTGGATTTTTTTGTACCATTTGTTACAACATATCTTTGTGAGCAATCGTTTTCGAGGATGCTGGACATAAAAACTAAGAAAAGGAACAGACTTTGCTGTGAAAATGACATGAGACTGGCACTTTCCAAGGTGAAGCCACGCATATCTGAACTGGTCTCTCAAAGGCAACAGCAGAAGTCACACTGAGGTAAGTTGTTTTGAGTTCATGCACTGTGTTGGTTTTGTTATTTGAACAAGGTGATATTAATGCACAATTCATTTCGTAAACCAGTAAAAAAAATCATATTTTATTTTTTACTAAAGAAGGGTTCGGTGAATGAGCATATGAAACTGGTGGGGTTCGGTGCCTCCAACAAGGTTAAGAACCACTGTTCTAGACTCAGGTGTGTCCAACCCTGGTCCTTAAGATCCCCTATCCAGCGTGTTTTATACCTCACCCTGCTAATGCAGTGGCTGAATCACATGTTCCACAGCTACTCCGGCTCTGCAGACAGCTGCTAATCACCACTGATTCAAATCAGGTGCGTTGAAAGAGGGAAACTTCTAAAACATGCTGTATGGGGGCTCTCGAGGACCAGGGATGGGCACACCTGGGGGGTTCTCGTGCCTTTAGATGGTCTCTCAGTCTAAGACTAATTACTGATTTTAGTGCTGGACGATTTATCGAAAATGTATCGATCTCAAACCTTCTGACTCTAACCGATATTTTTCTCATGTCGATAAATTCAATTAAAAAATGAAAAGCTGCGTGTAGGTTGGCGACGTTCATGTCACTTTAAGAAGCTGTACCCCTTCGAGTCACATGACAGCGTGACTTCATGTAATACACGTGACAGCCCCATCTAGTGGACGTTTGTTTTAGCTCATTAATGTAGTTATCGTCCATTTATCGTTATCGAGGTGAACTCCTCGGTATATTGTAATATTGATTTTAGGCCATATCGAAAAGCCCCCACTGACATAAATGGATCTTTGCACCACATTCTAATTTTTCGAGTTTCACCTGAACACATCTCATCTACAACGTTGAAGAAGATGAAATACGGGTTAATCTCACATCCATGCCTCATTTTTTATTCACATTTTTGCCTTTTTAAAACCCATAAATCTAATTTACAGCTTTGATGATGAACTCAGACCAAATTGGCTTCAGAGAAGAAGAAAGACAATCACTCCAGCTGGAGATGTTTTCTATCCTAAAAACAGACGACGCCTCCTTCAGAAACTTTTCGATGAGGCAGCGATTTAACTTGCGATTCGAAGCATCAAACTGTTAATAGATTAAAGATGTGCGTTAGCACAACAAGGCGTCTCCTCCAATAGCAGCCCGGCTTTTCCATCATGGTTCATTCCCTTGTGGCCTCGTTGATGAGCTGAAAGCCTCTGTTTTCTTCTTGATCTGCCTCAGATGAGTGAGGCTGTCACAAACACTCAACCACTCTCTTCACTTCCTCTTTTCCTCACTTGGTTGCTAACTTGCTCCCTGGAATGTCCCACTAATTAAAAACCCGTCTGCTGAGCTGCAACAATAATAACAGAAGGCCCTAGAGTTGCTTTTACTGCTGCAGACCGCACTCTCCTGCGTCACTACGCTGGGCAGGATTTAATTCTTTGCAAATTAAGTGAAAAAGAAACAATCCCATGCAAACAATTAGTCTGTAAGTGCAAAGCAATACATACCTGAGAGCCTAACAAACTCGTCATTAAGCAAACAACTACTTACATCCAGCAGCAGAGCCGAGAGGGGCAGCGGGAATTCTGAAAGCCAACCGCTGCTCTTCAGCAGGAAAATACTTGGACAAGCAGGCAAACTGGGAATAGAATCTTAGCTAAATCTGTGGAAAGTCATCCCAGAGGATGAGCTCACTGAGAGCACAAGAGTAGCTCCTCCATCTTACTTCTCCCATGTAGACACACACTCACACTCATGCAGCAGACCACTCCCTGTGTTCTCAATCACAGCACAACGTCAGGCACATGCTAAATGAATCTGATGCCTTCCAGAAGAGCCTGTGCATGACTGGGGGTTTGAAGATATTGACATTTTTTTCAGATAAAAGGTAAGGTAGTATTGCTAAAGTGGGTGTGATAAGGCCAGGCGTAATACTAGCCTTGAATTAGGCTCATGTGGATTTGATTTAAACTGGCTTTTATCTTTTTTCTTGTAATTTATGTACAAAAACCTATAGATATATAAAACTAATAATCTATAGAGGTTGATAGATCGATAGATCAATATAAAAATATCACCCATGTTTATGTCCTATATTTGGATAACATTATGTGGAGTACAGGTACTTTTCTCTAAATGAAACACTGGTTGTAATTGA